TAACAGAATTCATGGTGCAGAGTCACAGCCGGCCGCCGAGCATCGCAAGCCTCGCCGAGAGTGGAAGAAGATACTGGCACACACGCATACGCAGGAGCTGCACGAAAGTGACTAGCCTAGCGCGTCGTCGTCGGTGTCGTCTGGTGTGCACTCGCCTCGATATGATGACCGGCCGCAATGGCACTAGAAAACGGCTATCCTCACCCTATTCTCCTTTGTAATGTTTTTTATTTATTTATTTTGTACTTCTCACGAAAGTAGTTACGAAGCCGATCGATACCAAGTCTGTTTTATTATCCTTGTATGCAACTTCTCTCAGTTCGCTCCCACCATCATCATCATTATCATCATTATCATCATTATCATCATTATCATCATTATCATCATTATCATCATTATCATCATTATCATCATTATCATCATTATCATCATTATCATCATTATCATCATTATCATCATTATCATCATTATCATCATCACCTCTGCTTTGTGACGTGTTTTCCATCACCCCTTTTTTTTACTACTGACTTCATCTGAACCACAAGCATAATAGCAAGAGACTACACACTGTCGATCCTTTGGTATGATGTCGTCGCATCGCGTCACACTGCCCGCATAAGCGTGCTGATCTCCCTTCTGCAAGAAAAAGTTTCCGTCGACCTGGTACCCAGATTCATTGTTGCCAAAAAGCGTCATGATCATCGCAGGTCCATAAGCTTAGCATGGAGGGGTGTCATCGCCATAGGTGCGTGGCAAAGCTTAGTACCGGTAGCTTACGGAGTTCTGTTTCAAGTAGGAGATCGCTGTTGGGCTTGGCTGGGTGTCATTACACATCACATTTCTGACATTGCACCTCTAGACGGCTATCTGTGTAGAATATTACGTCTATTTTCGGTTGTGTTTAGACCCGTTGGGTAGGATCGGCAACACTGTATATTTGCGCAATGCTGCTTTGCACCGATGCAGAGATGGTGCTCCACAGCCCCGCCATCTTCAAGTGTATCAGCGAGCTGGGCATTGATTTTCGTTCGCATTGGGGATGAATTGTTTCCACCAGAATTTGTTGCGAAGACACTTGCTGCACACTTGGTGGCATGCGACTCCGCAGTATAGCGCTAGATACTTCACTGACGAATGTACGATGAAAAAACTAGTGTTGGCGCCCATGTCGCATATCAAGAAGATGGATTCAGAGCCTGGATAGAGAGCTGGCTCTTCATCTTCCCCACAACGCATTCATATCAGCAAGTAAGTGGTGGCGCAAGTATCCTAGCAAAGCGTCCAAAACAACACATGATTACATCAACGGTAGTGGCGCATAATACATCTGCTGTAGCTTGTGGCAGTAGGCCAACTTCACACACCATGTCGCGACTTGTTAATTTAATAGGACTTGGAAGACATGTTCTGAGGCACACTAAGGCGTAGTATAGGAGGGGCATTGTGGAGTCGACGCATAGGGAACCATTCGCGCGCAACAGTGCAAGTTTCAACATGGCGATTTTAACAGCTGCAGATCGTGGTAGAACAGAGAGAGAAAATAGAACACTCAACACGAGACTGGTTCCCCAGGATTTGAATGCGTTGATACATGGAGGGATGAACTATGGAATTCGTGCTACTTGAGTGGTCGGAAACACGTGCCTTGGTCGCGGCAAGCGACTAGACAATTGAAACAGGCTGTCCTTAACAGCCTCACGATAGCGCAGCGGTCTGTTACACAAGGAGCTTTAAAGCAGGTTTGCTACGTTGTTTCCGTCTTTCTCTAACGCGTGAAGGGCAGTTGACACTTGGGGAGCATGGAACACGTCACATGACGGAGCCTTTGGGCGCACATGCAAATGGGCACCCGTCTCCCCCGGATTGCAGCGGGACACAGCTAAAAGTAAGTAATCACCTCCGCTCACGACAGCAGCCACATCGTATATCTGCCGCGGAATACGATCCTTAGGGCACAAGGTATAGCTATGTAAGCACCTGACCAAGCGAGCACGGGCCGTCCGCCGGGTGAACCCCAGCCGAACTGGCACCCCAGACATGTGGCGTCTCAGCACACCACGTTCGAGACTTTGCGTAAACCCCAACTAGCTTGATCTCGACCAAGTCTGCTGGAAATCCGGTTTTCGTCGTCAACCAAGCATTATGCACAAAACCCGCGCGAGGCCTCACACACTCGCCACGGGCGGACTTTGCTTATGACTGAGTCCGGTCGGCTGCGTCCCGTCATTTCCTGCTAACCCGGGGTGCCGATAGATTGCATTCCTCAGGCACCAATCTCCGCCGTACTCTGATTTTTTTTCTTCCTTTTTCCTTTTTCCTTTCTGTTCCTGCTGGCCAGCATGCGCATCGTTGTTGAGCAATGATCTTCTCTTCTTTTTTCCCGGTGGTCCCTTTCTTTTTATTATGTTTAATACTACTACTTAAAACCGCCGGGGCGCAGATGCTGGGGTCCTGGTCTGCAAATCCAGGGGAACTTCACGTGCGCCAGAACGGCAACGACAAGAATGGCAACGGGCAGAATAACGGACCGGACAACAGTGCTTTCACTATTGTCAACGGGAGGATATACACTCCCGGACTTGGGATAATATTGGCAGTATGTGCCCGACGCTATGTGCGCACAACCGAAGGCCTTGGGCTGACCAATTCCAGCCACAACCTTACACACCTGAGGGCGGCGATTTTCTGCAGATAGCCCTCGATATATCGGGCGATGGTAAACTTCCTGTACCACCGCGAAATATCGCCGACCCCCTCACCCAGGTCTTCAACTTCACCCTGTTCCTCACGTCGACGATTACGCAGAAGAACTTTACAATCTCAAACATGACGACCTCGACGCCTCCGCTGGCCAACATGCTCAACCAGGAGGCCGGGCAGACAGTCAAGCATATAAACTTCGAGTGGCCACAGTGCCTAGTCGGCAACAACAACGATGACGACGGTGCAACCGCAAGGGGCGATTACAACATTAGCATCCACCAAAACTACCGACTCAACGGCGTGGACCATTACACGATTTTTAACCTCCCAATCAGCGTTACAAACAGCATCCAGGCGTTCCCGGGCGCTGGCCAACTGACGACCAAGCCTGCCCCGGGCCCCCTCAATGCAAACGGAGGCCGCATGCCGTGCGCGATGCTTGAAAACCCCCTGCAGGACTTCCAGGCACAAGTCAACAGCGTCAGCAACCCGTCTGGCCAGCCTATCCGGGTCATTCCGATTGAGACCAGTCCAATGAGCAACGGCGGACAGGTCGGCGGCAATGGTCGCGGCGACGGATCAAGCGGGTCTGGTGCCGGCGGCGCCCAGGGCAACGGGCAGGGTGAGATTGCGCCTGGTCCGGCCACAGGCCCCGCCAACGAAGCGTTGGGAGCTGCGGTAAGGATGTCGAGCGAGTCGCTTTCGGTTGTCATGATCGGCATGCTGGGAGCGGCAGTCGTGCTGTGCACGTCTGTAAGCTGGTAGTACTAAATCTAAGCCACTTACTTGTACACTAATGACAAATAATAGCTACGCGTTTAATCCTCATGGCCCTACGTATCAACCTTTTGTCACTATTTGTGTACCTACAAACCAGGGGTTTCCCTGCTTATAGTGGCTCGCGTGTGTGTGTGTGTGTAGTCCAGAAACAACTGTTTTTTTCTTTCTCTTTCTCTTTCTCTTTCTCTTTCAATATTCCTTTGCTGTTAGTGCCTAATGCACATGTGTACTTGCTCCCTTCCTTCCCCCTTGCAGATACAAACTTTGTACGCGGCAAAAGAAACAAAAGCCTGCTTACGAATATATATATTATATACCCACATCATTTATTCAAAAAGTTAGCAATATATGGAAACAAGCGTTGTTGTTGTTGTTGTTGTTATTGTTGTTGTCATCGTCATCGTTGTCGACATGCTACATGTATGAATCGTCAAGTTACTGTACCGAGAAGAAACATGCAAGAATTGGAAAAAAAAACACATACACACACACAATGATACTTACGAATGCGCATGTGCCAAGTTTGCGTGTTTTGGTTTTTATTAAGTGTGTCTTGGGCCTTCTCACTTTTTTTTTTCACTTCACACGTGCGCTCCATGTATAAGGAGATCAAGAGGAAAAGGGAAACAATATCGATGAGTTTTTATATACTTTCATTCTTTTTTTTTCTCTCAGTTACTTGTAGAAAGAGTATTTGGGCGTTCGCACATCCATCCATCCAGCAGGCAAGGGTTGGGCAGTAAGTCTAAGCCGGGGGACTCGAGTCGCAAGGGGCAACAGCGATTCAGTCGGATAAGCCGAATAAACTATGGTGGTGTTTTACATATATACATACATACATACATACATACATACATACATACAGAGAGAAAGTTTTTTTTTACACAAGGGTTATTAATCATAGGCTCTTTTCCTCTTCTTCCCCTCACTTTCTCCCAGTTGCTCTTCCACGGGCCCTGGATCAATCTCACGCTCCGCTCTCTTCCGCTTCTGCGTCCTCGTCACCTCTTCTCCGGCTAACTTCTCCGTCACAAATAAGGTGCTAGCCGTCTCTCTGGCCACACTGCTACTACTACTCGTACTACAGCCATGACTTCGCGTTAGTTCCTTGTCCTGCTCTGCATCACATTCATCCTCGTCTTCATCAGGCAATCCCAAATCCGTTGTATTCGTATCTGGATCCTCGAGCGCGGCTTGGATCTTCTGCAAGCCCATGTCGTCGCCTTCCAGCGTCTCGCTGATGTCGGGATCAATCCAGCCCTCGGTGTAGCTGCCGCCGAAATCAATGATCCATAGCTCCGAGTCGGCGTCAACCATGAAGTTGTCTGCTTTGGCGTCGCCCCAGATAATACCATTGTCGTGCAGAGCCGTGACGTACTTTTCGCTCTTGCGGCTCCACTCGGCGCGCGCGGCGTCGTCGACGCTGGACCGCAGGAGCTTGGTCAGGGGCGTAGGGTAGCGGATGTTCTCGAGCAGCAGGCCCATAACCTCGGTCCTGCTGTTCCCATGTGCCACGAACCCTCGCAGATGCGGGAACTTGATGTCGAGATGTAGCTTAGCTAGCTGTTGCAGGATTTTGATTTCGCGTTTCACCGAGTCGGGCTGGTCGGCGACCACGGGCTTGAAGAAGTAGATTTGGCCCGTCGCTTTATGCAGCACTTGCCCCGGGTGGATGGGGGGCGGCATGCTGACTTCGGATTGGACAACCAGGTCGTTGGCGTCGAGCCAGGGTAGCTTGTAGTTCTGCATGTACTTTGGAATCTTCATGCGTGGAATGTGCTCGCCAATCATGGCCTCCAGGCGGGGTATTGTCTCTAGAAGTCGGGGGGACGGCTCTCCCTTGACGGTTTCCATTGTATAGAAGTAGGTTGGGCCGTGATACCACTCGTGTAGTGTGGACTCCTCTGGCTCGCGGTCTGGTGGTGCGTCCGTGGTAGTGATGTCGGCGAACAAGGCCAGTATCCAGTTTCGCAGTTCCATGCCTGCGCTAGCAAAATCGGGACCTTCGTCTTCTTCTGCATCGTTATCCTCTTGCTCAACATACTCATCATCGTCACTGTCTGCCGTGACGTCGATACCGCTGTCCTTGCCCTCTGAACCCTCTGAGCCCTCTCTGACTTTGTTCTTATTGCTGCGGACTTTAGCCAGCTGCTCTTCGACTCGGTCTTCTTCCCTTTCTTCCGCTTCACGGAATGCTGTTATCAGGTTGAGGTACTCGCGATACAACTGCTTTGAGGGTGACTTTTTCAGCTCCCCAGGTTCAATCATGAAATGGAAGCGGACATCGTTGATGAGCGCCGTTAGGCCACAACTGTCGTCGATGTCGAGCTGAAAGTTCAGGATGTGGGCCTTGGATTTGGTCATGGATTGTGCCATTGCTAAGTGACAAGAACCAAAGGAAGGGTAAAGTGTGTTTTGAGAGATGAAGAGAGTTTGATAACGCAGTGTCAACGTCCACAGACACATCTATACCTCCACCACCAACCTCCTCTGCACCTCGCTGAGCCATCCACTTACATCATTATTGCCCTGAGTCGTTGAACTCATGTTTTGCAACGGGATGACATATTTCCATGATTGCTTTGTCTGGCCCCTGCATCGACATCATAGATGCGGTGCTAGCCTTCAGGTACAATCGGACTTGTGGCGGGCGGCAGCATCGGGAAAAGAGATGAGTGGCTAGCTATCCCTAATTAGCGTCTTCCAAACACGATCCTGGAAGCCACCGATCTACACTTAGAATTGTGCAATCTTGAGAAGGCTGGGCTTGGAAGAAAGGGACTGGCGTGACGCGCCCAAACGCGATCAAATGTCGTGACGTCAACCGCGTCCATCCGCCCCGTAACACTAGCATCTCTGCGACAACAACACCCTAAACAACAACATGTGCAAGGATGCTCGTTACTTTTCTTAGCCATTCGATTGCGGGCACTGGTCACACACGAGAGGAACATAGATTGGAGATCAAATAGATGCTTCTCAATTGAGAAGCCCTTCAACGTTGTCGCATTTCTTCCGAGGCGTTCGTCTGTCATAGCGACATGTCGCGGCAGACATCCTGCACTCATTCACGCGTTCAACCATCAAATATCCTAACCATATGCGCCTTGTGAAAATCAAACATGCCAGACAAAGGAGCGTAATCCCACACCTTGCGGCCCCTATTATACCGAAACGAGAAGCGAAACATGTTTCTTTCGTACCAAAATAAAACGCTTGACCAGACCAAAAAATTGAGAACCCGCCCCGAAAGTTTGAAAGCAATGCGTCGGAACATCTTCCAGAGATTTGCGAACGCCAAGTCATTATACGTTCGTAAGATCCCAAACCAATATCATACAGCTCCACGCATATGTCGTAAAGTTAGCAAGACTGCTCTAGACACTAAAGTCCAAGAGGTCGTACGGAGACGAGTCCAAAGAAGTGAAGTCGCCCATTGCCTTCATCTCAAGATCAAACTGTGAGTACGAAGTATCGGGCATCGAGTCGAAGAGTTCCTCAATGTTGTCCTTGGGGTCAACCGGAGAGGTTGGCGGCGTTGTGAACTGACTCGATTGAATCGACGACCGCGAGGGTGAGGACGATACTTTCAGAGGACTAGGGTCGACAGGTACGTGCGAACCCTTGGTGGAGTCGGCAGAAGGCGGACGCACATCAGCAGGCGACATTGGAGGTGTATGCGAATGCTGAGAGAGTTGTTGAAAAATGTTCATAGACGCTGAATCGCCATCATAGGCGGTCGATGTAAAGCTCGACTCAGCAAGGTTGGGACCTTCAGCGTAAGGACTTGACGATGCCTCAAAGCTGGTGTGTCTGTTAGATGTGAAGAGCAGCAGGAGTGGTAGAGAAACTAACCTGAAAGGATCTACGGAAGAGTTCATAGGGTCGTTGAAGTTCTGTGAACCTGAAAGCAGCTGGGGTAGATCGTGAGATTCGGTCGACTCAAGTCCAACTAGCGGTGAAGGAGATCGATCGTCCGAGTGCGGTGAGCCAGCAGAGGATGAAGGCGCCGATACGAGAGCTCGTCGCGCCCTGTTGGCCTTGTCGACGCGTTGCTCCATCTCTGGCCGGTTCTTCTTCGGTCGGCCGCGCTTTGCGTGTCGTCGAACGGCATCGGGAAATCCACCGACGCACATGCCTCGTTGGCGGTGACGTGTAAGGGCGTCTTGTCGTGCAAAGCCTGCACCACACGGGCACTTGTAGGGCTTGTTGCCAGAGTGGATCTTTGCGTGGCGCTTCAGGTCGTGCTGTCGAACAAAACACTTGCCGCATCCGTTGCACTTGTATTGGCGGTCACCAAGATGTGTTTGGACGTGTGACCGAATGTTTTCCCTTCGTCCAAAGACCTTGCCGCAGCCTTGGTAGAGGCAAGTCCACTTGCCGGTTGTTGCATCTTGCTCGCTAATGTATCTCTGAACTTCTTCCGGCGCGATACCCGTGTACTCGAAGCTAGCGTCCAGTTCGAGGTCGTTGAAGATTTGGGGCTGCGAGAATGGTTCCATGGATGCTGGTAAGCTGTTCATCGACATTGAGTCATGGGGAGTAGGCAACAGCGCGGGTGGTTGTGAGAAGAGCATCTCTTGGTTCTCCTCGATGTTCTCCAAGAAGGCCTGGACTGACTTTTGTCGTGGCGAAGAAGCAGGCGATGGCGACAAGGCGTCGGAGGTGTAGTAGGAGGATGAGTCGTACCCGAGGTCCACTTCCGGGTTCTCAAAGTCAAAGGTCATGGCCTTTGGAGTGGGCTCGAGATTGACATCGGTCATGACGGACAAATTCGAGTGAGCATTGGCAACAAAAGATTCATGCCTCTGCAACTGCACCGGCTTTTGCGGCGTCGCAGTGGGTGTGGGTAATATGTTGATGAAGACTTGTCCACATGAGCCATACACAGACTGAATGTGCTCGTGGAGTTCTTTCAATTGCTGTTCAGTGGGGGGTCTAGAGGGGGAGGATGGGAGCTGCTTGGGAGACTGCAGACGGCTTAACCTTCGCGGGGTCCGTGGTGTGGAGGAGGAGATCTGTACTGGGGATGCCAAAAAGGCTTCCTGGGGGCCCGGCTGGGGCTGTCTGTGCGGCTGCGCTACTTGCATAGAATGCTGTGATGGTTGTCCTAGAGTGTTAGTATTACTTACCGTACTGTCCTCCTGCTGGAAGGATGGGACATCGAAAGGTCCTGGCTGTTGGGTTAGTTCCTGGTATTGGGCTTGTCGCGCCGCGGCATGGATGGGCTCTAGGTTGAGGCCGCGTAGGTCCAAGCTCATGCCGGTGCGGTGTGATCGTCGTTGGATCTTAGCAGGTGATGGGCGTACTGTAGCCGCGTCGAACACGGTTGGGGTCGAGTGTTGTCGTCGGTGCTGGATGCGCGGGCGCTGGATGCCGGCTGGCATATTTGTGGACAGCATATCTAATGCAGGTCGAGTCCGGAGTCGGTTCTCGAGGAGGGGGGAAGTCCTATGGGGTCCGAAACTAAATGGCGGTGTTAGCAGTCACATTTCGCGTGCACGCATTGCATACAAACATACCTCACGCAGTGCAAGCGGCGCTCCGCCGGGCGGTCGGTGTCCTTATGAAATCCTCAGTACAGATGCAGTCTCCCAGTAGCCTGTCTCTCAAGTAAGTATCTGGCCGGAGCCTGTGCGACTATGCGTGCAGGAGGGGATGTGCTTTAGTGGCAGTCGCTAAATGCACGATTGATACTAGAGATGAGGAAAGGGTGGGTGCAAGAGATGGAGAGCAAAGTGGAGGATAAATGTAGCGCAGGCGGGGATAGCTGTGTATTACCGTATCAAGGCTGGACACAACAATGGCGAGCCGCCTCGTCACCCCAGCGACGGCTAGCCGCCCGCGCCCGACGTGGGCGCTAACGTCCCGATCGGGCCTGGCCTGCGCGTCACGTGCCCTCGATCGCCACGCCGCACGGGCCCCTGCCTCGGCCGCCACGCTTGCGCTCGCTTACGCGATCCACATGAATTTCAACGCCCAAGACTTGCCCGCCGCACTTTTTCCCTCCACACCCCTTCTGCATCACGCTGAGGAAAGCAATCACGACACGATTGCTTAGGCCGCCATGCAGATCTTCGTCAAGACCCTGTAAGACTCGACGCGCGCAACGCCCGCTTGCCAGACACTGACAGCCTCGCAGCACGGGCAAGACTATCACCCTTGAGGTGGAGTCTTCGGACACCATCGACAATGTGAAGTCCAAGATCCAGGGTACGTGCGGTTGAGGCGGCCGCTCGAGTTCGCAGCTGACAGGCCACCAGACAAGGAGGGCATTCCCCCGGACCAGCAGCGTCTCATCTTCGCCGGCAAGCAGCTCGAGGACGGCCGCACGCTTGCCGACTACAACATCCAGAAGGAGTCGACGCTTCACCTGGTCCTCCGCCTGCGTGGTGGAGCCAAGAAGAGGAAGAAGAAGGTCTACACCACGCCCAAGAAGATCAAGCACAAGCGCAAGAAGACCAAGCTAGCTGTGCTCAAGTACTACAAGGTCGACGGCGACGGCAAGATCGAGCGCCTCCGCCGCGAGTGCCCCCAGCCCGAGTGCGGTGCTGGTGTCTTCATGGCCGCCATGCACAACCGCCAGTACTGCGGCAAGTGCCACCTCACCTACGTTTTCGACGAGGCCAAATAAGCGCGTCGCCTCCGGGGTACGCGACACGATCGATAACGAGTTATGGCAGCGCGGCGCACTGCTGGGAGGAGCTGAATAGGCTTCACCACATTGTCGCACATGTAGAACCAATCAACCTTGTCATGGACTGAATGTGAACTGGCCGTGAAACTTGCTCGCAGTGACTGACGTCAGCCCATACCATTCGCCCGCTAATTTTCTCGCCAATTTTCTCGCCCGTGCTCGATGAGCTGAAGTCCGTGTAGGAGCGCAAGGGCCAGTGAGCGGACTTCCGGAAACATGATCTCGGCTTGCTGTTACCATGGCGCCTGTAGTCCTAGCGGCCTGATGCGGTGATTCCGGCGCTTAGGGTCCAGCGTTTACTCGTCACCCTGCCATGAATCCGATGATGACTGCCAGCTGGCTACCGCCATGACATCCGTATCTGGGTGCTTGAGTCAGTGGGGTGAGCCCAATGGAACTGGGTAAACGTAAAAGCAAGACTGCTCCGACTTGGTTCAGCAGACTATACAGCATGCCAAGCCTCTGTTGACACGGCCACGAGTGAGGTCAGAACATTTATTGTTATTTAGACATGAGTGGAAAGCTAAGCATGGGCACGCTTCTTCCAAGGGTAGTAATTATACATGGTCGTCATGTGCGAAGAGAGCTCGCGCACTCATCCTCTTCATCCAATCCGCCTTACTTCCTGTTCGCCCTCTGCTCCTTGTCTGCTGTGCTCTGGCTGATGTCCAGACCCAGACCCTTGCTGTCAAGGTAGACCTTGTTGTTGCTCTGCTGCAGGATACTAGCAATGGCTCTCGCATTCTCAAACTCCCTCAGGTCAATGTAACTCCTGCTCTTCTTGATGGCATCACCAATCAGCTCGGCGGAACGGGCCTCACCCTGCGCGCGGACGACCGTGGCCTGCTTCTCCTGGCGCGCTTTGTCGACAACGAAAGCAGCGCGCTGGGCCTCTTGTTGAGCGACTTGCTTGGCTTCGACTGCGGCGGTGAACTCGGGGGAGAAGGCGAGGTGCTGGGCTGTGTTAGTTGGCTGCGGGGTCAGCCGGAAGTTGAGCATTGGGTACTCACTGTTAGAGAGACATCGTCGAGCATGATGTTGAAACGCGCAGCTCGCCTGACTAGGTTGTCGCGTACCAGCCTGCTGACGTTTTCACGCTGTGTGATGAGCTGACTGGCATTGAATTGCGCCACCACGCTCTTCAACACCTCGTTCACAATCGACGGCAGCACCCTCTCGTCGTAGTCTGTGCCCAGTGTCCTGTAGATTTGGGGCAGCGCATCGACCCGCGGCCTCGACAGCACACGGCAGGTTATGTTGACCATTTGCAGGTCCTTGGTGCCTGTGAGGGAGGCGACGTTTCGTGGTTTGGCGCGCACATCGTAGGTAATGGGCGTCTCGAACCAGGGAATGCGGAAGTGGGTTCCTTCGCTGTAGATTTCCTTCTGAACACCGCCAATGCGCGTGTATTTGATTGCTCGGTGGCCACCATCGACTGTCACGGGTCAGCCTTCCGCCTTGTTGCAGCAGGGTGTGCCGGGCCTGCACGAGCCCTGCCAGGGGTATGGACATACCGTTGAATAGCGCATTGTTGGCCATCCATATGCCACCACCGACGAGCAGCAGGCCTCCAATGCCGCCAAAGACGCCCTTGGGTGGCCCGCCGCCGCCCGCACCTCCGAGTCGAACGCCCCGTCTCGTGAGCTCATTCTGGATGCGCGACCATGTTTCCCTGGGATCCGGTGCAGACATGTTGGCCGTGTGCGTGTGAGGGGCAATGGGTGGATGGAGCTCGGTGATGAGGTATTCGACGACGATGGAGAAAATGGTCGTCGGCGAATCACAACCCCCGACGCTCGCCCGCCGCCAAGACATGCCTCCGCATCGCGACAATGGCGGGGCCTGGCTCCCTTGCTGCGCTATACAAGCTCGTTTCTGGTCTACTGACTGCAGTCTGCTGTGCGTGCATGAGGTTGAAACACCTTTTACTACCCCGAGGTCCAGACCAAATTACCCTCACGGCCTTGCCGTCTCATCTAGCAGAGGGGCGTGCCGTACTTGTCGCAGCATGTTTGCGCAAGGGCCACCCAATCAATGTCATCTGTATACGTTAAAGCACAGCTGTCCATAAGCTCCCTCGACTATTACACTTAAGCCCGCAGTCTGCCCACTTGGCGGTCCATTTGTTTCCTTATCCATTCCTGTCGTTTAGTGATACCCAATTGATTGCCTCTCGTTTTCACAGCCGAAGCAATACGTCCCGCAACACACGTGGCCCCGAGCCGCTGGTACAGAGCACGAGGTAGGTTTCACTTGGGCCAAAGGGCGCAATTGCACACGAATACTTATCGCACACCAGTCTCGCGAGGCACATGCAACAAGTACTACACTTTCCGTCTACAGAAGCAGTTTCAAAGCCATACCAGTCTGAACAGAGTCGCCGCGCCTCTCCACCATGCACATCACGCCGCAGTCGCTGCGCCTCGCTGCTTGGTCGGCCTTCGCAGTCTACACAGCAAACGCCGACCATATTATAGAAAATCTCAGTTTTGGCTACCAACCGGGCCACGAAATCTCACCCAACTACCATGACATCCCTCACTTCACTGTCAAAGGCGCAGACGACTATGAGCCCCAAGTCCTTTCCGACCGCGTCATTCTTACGCCTCCGTACCCTGGCAACAAGCGCGGTTCAATATGGGCATCAGATCCGCTGTACCACAAAGGCGACTGGACGGCACAGTTGGACTTTAGGGCATCAGGCATGGAGCGAGGAGGCGGAAACCTGCAGTTTTGGTATGTCAAGGAATCACAGGCGGGGGAGCCACCCTCGAGCTTGTTTACGGCGCCAAACTTCGATGGACTCGTGCTGCTCATAGACCAGTACGAAGGCCATGGAGGGTCCATCCGCGGTTTTCTCAATGATGGAACAAAGAACATCAAGGCGCACCCTGATCCAGACACGCTGGCCTTTGGCAAATGCGACTATGCATACAGAAACCGCGGCGAGCTCACGCCAATCAAGCTGCACCACACGCAAGAATACTTGGAGGTCATTGTTGACGGCGCACTTTGCTTCAAGACGGACAAGGTACTATTGGCTTGGTCGTGGTCTCTACTTGTCCGGTACACTTACTGCGACTCCAGGTCAAACTCCCCGAAGGTTACTACTTTGGTATCAGCGCTTCCTCTGCCGAAAACCCAGACTCGTTTGAAGTGTTCAAGCTCATCAAGCAAGTCGGTCTCGAGCATACCAAGGGCGATCTCGGTGTTGGATTCGATGCCGATATTGTGGTTTTTGATGATACCGCTGAATTTACCGTATGTTTACCCCCCCCCCTTTCCCCCTTTTTTTTTAGTTGAACCAGTTTACTTCATTCGTGGGGGAAAAAAAATTTCGCTAACATCAATGTGTATTCCCAGGTCGAACCCAGCACCATGCTGTTCCGCAACAAGGTCTCGCCGTATGAAAATAAGAAACTCAGGGGTGTCGTGCGCGAGACGTGGTTGCGTGGTAAACGCATTTTCTCCCGCGCTGATGGCTTCCTGGAGAAGACGGGGCCGCAGGGGAAGTTGCTGCTTGAGCAGAGGAAGAGGAGTGCGTAGATGCATGGATGGGAGTGGCGTTTTTATCCATTTGATTGAATAGGGTTTGGTGCGTGGTAATGATGGCAATGGTGGTGACGATATAACGAGAAGGACTCGGTTTCGAGGGCATGTGTTTTTTTTATTGTATTTCAGTTGCATAGAAGGTGTTCAGGCCAACATGTCATACGGGAAGCGGGGGGGTTTTATTGTTTTTTTCTCGTCTTCTTCCGGAGGAGTGTATCCGGGTCATTGAGTATAGACATAGTTTTCATTCATCTTTTTTTATCGTCTTATTTTACACTTGAAAAGCAATGCGCTTATAAACACAGCGTTGTTCTCGACTCCATGCAACAATATGCCAGTTGCGAGCGTCCCTTATCTAACATGCGGAAGTAAAAGGAAGGAAAAAAAAGAGGCCCAAAGCAATCGGGTAGCTAGCAATTCGTGTACATAAAAAAACGGGACAGAGGGCTTTGGATGGTTGATTTTACAAGTACTTCTTGGGGGTACTGTCTCTCCGCTTCTTGTACAAGATGTACGCACCGGTAATGGTGATTTGCACGGCAAAAGCCATGAACAAAAAGGTCGTCATGCTGGGACCCCTGCTGGAGACGACTATCACACAAGTTAGCCACACATCCTAGTATTTGACGTGAGGAAAACTTACCAGCACCCATTATGTCGGGCAGGTTCCTGATGACACCCTCTTGGTTCCTCGCGAGCGCGCGGTGGATTTGGTCCATCATATCCTTGAAATCTTTGGATTCCAAGTCACGCAGTATCTGGGCCGTGGCACGCTCCACCTTCTCGACGTTGCGCATCGTAGCGGCGCCGCGGTCGTCGATAGGGACGATGCGCTGCATGAGTTTTTCCCACTTCTCATCATCCTTGTGGCGGTTCTCCTCCATTACTTCGTGGATATCGTAGACGCGGTTGATAATCGTGTTGAGGTGGTGGTTCAGGATTTGGATGCGGTTGTGGAGATCGGCGAATTGTGCTTCCTGGTCGTGGATAGTGGATGCGGCTACGTCCTCGATGTCTTCCTCGTCCTCAGAACCATAGCCGTGCTTGTGATCCTGCTTATGATCCTGCTTATGATCCTGCTTATGATCCTGCTTATGATCCTGCTTATGATCCTGCTTATGATCCTGCTTATCATGTTCCTTTTGTCCTTCCTTCTTTTTCTGCGAGTTGATGTAGTCCTTCTTGGTCGGGCTGGGCGGTCCGTCGCGGTGCGAGTTTATAGTGGACACGGCGGTGTTTTTGCAGCACCAGCGTACGACGTCTTCGATGCGGAATTTCTCGTTGCGCTTTTTGCCCTCGGTCCAGATGATGGGGAGGCCGAGGCCGACGCTGGAAATGCCGCCCCATGCGCTGAAGAAATCGCCTTGGTTGGGCTGGGTTTGTGGTTGTTCTGTTGATGAGGAGGATGAGGATGAGGATGAGGTGGGTGCTAGATGCGCAGGTAAGAGTTTGATGTCTGGTGTGCAGGGCGAGTGGTCCGATACGACTGTTTTAATGACGCCGTCGGCGGTGTCTTGAAGGAGCTCTTCCCACAGGCCGTCTTGGTTGGATTGCTCGCGGATGGGCGGACAGCACTTGTGTCTTGTGTCGCCTTCCTTGATGGCTTCTGCGGCGAGAGCCAGGTAGTGGAAACATGTTTCGGCGGTGATTTTGACGCCTTCTGCGCGCGCCTTGCGCAGCAGAGGGATGGCTTCGATGGCCGATAGATGCACAATGTGGAGTTGCAGCTCGGGAGCCAGATGGGCGAGCGACAGGATCTCGGCGACGGCACACGTTTCAAAGGATGGGGGCCGCGACTGCAGGAATGTGTCGTACGAGGTTAGAGAGCCCTTTGGCGCGAGAGGCGGGTTGGATGTCTGCACGTCGTCGCCGACCGAGTCGGCAATGGGTGGGATCATTTCGGCGTGGAACATGAGTGTGGTGGCGCAGTCTTTGAGTTCCAACAGCGCTTTCTGGATGTCGAGTGAGGAAACGGCGGGGAACTCGTCGACCTGAGTACGGCGTCAGTATCACATGATGTGGAGAGCTAGTAGTATAGAACATACTCCACTGTCGCACAAAAAGCCCTTGAATCCTCGAACGCCCTCCTTGACTAGTGCCTTGAGATCGCCGGCGTTGCTTGGAATGATACCTCCGTAGAAGCCTACATCAACCCAGCATTTTCCTTCTGCTGCCTCGCATTTGATCTTGAGGTTCTCAACAGTCGTTGTTGGTGGGATGGCGTTCAGTGGCATGTCGACGACAGTAGTGACTCCGCCAAAAGCCGCTGCTCGGGTACCGGTCCAGAAACCCTCCCATTCTGTTCGGCCAGGCTCATTGAGATGTACATGCGCGTCGACCAGTCCAGGCAATAACATCCGTGGAGAGTAGTCCGTGTATGGCGTGCCTTCGGGGAAATCCGTTGGAGGGAGCACCGAGTGGAAGACAGATGTGATTTTGCCGGTAATGTTTGATACAACAATTGTAGCTTCAGTGAGCCGGCCACCGACGACGGCTCTTGAAGAAGCTAGTACACGGATAGGAGGAGTTGGCCGTTCCAGAAGCATAGGTGGTGGTGGTGTCGTTGCGTGGGGAGCCATGTTGCAAGGCGGAAGTCTTTCTGACTGGACTCAAACGAAAAGGACAGGCGATTGTAGGCAGTGAAGGTGCAAGTCGGCGAGCTCCGCGCTCGAGGTGTACGAGTTATATACACAAATAGGCCGGCCTCGGTAAACGCGGGGAGGGTGTGTGGCTGTCTTCGGTGAGCTGCAGATAAGCGTTGATAAGACGGCGGCAGTGTTGCGTGTCTGTGTATCGAAGAGGCCTGAATCAACGGGTCGTAGCAACGCTTGGAGGCAAAAGACAGGATTTCGAAAGAAGAACGATTCACATGCTCAGATAACCAATGTCAGAAACGCCAAAACCTGGGGTACAGGCCCTTATCTATCCTTGAGCTAGGAGCCACCCCGAGCGGTTCTCGAAGCATCGTGTTTGGAAACCGGGTCTAGGTAGTGTGGCGTAGGGGGCCCGTGGATCATCGGGGAACCCTGCTCTACACATTGCTCGATAGTATCGAGTAATCCAGGCGAAGGGAGACTATCGCGGCCGCTTTGGCCAAGCGCCTCGACCCTGCTTCGTGTTGGTGGACTTTAGTGTGCATATGAGCCCAATTTATGCCCTTGGTCGAGTGGGATGTCGTTGTTTGGCAAGGCCCGAGGTGTGGGGCGTGGATATTTTGCAGCCTCTTACTAGTCGAGCGTCTAATATCGCCGCCTCTGGTGCCGTCGAGCGGTGAAGACGGTAAGTTTCATTTCTGTGTAGAAAGGTGTTGGGGAACGTGCATGCAACGCGATAAGCAACTGTAAGGATGTGGCAGTGTACGATAGGCATGCAGTAAATCGCTCCGATTAGCTCCACAAGAACTAGCGCAGGGCCAACGGCTGAGCGTCATACCTCTACAACGTAGAATATCTAGAGCAATCATCCTGAATCTCACACCGATGTTCCGCTGCGACTCTTGCTGCTAGGAGGAGGTTGTATTTTTCCAGTGCTTGGTTTCCGGCCTGGTGACAAAGGGACCTGTGAGTGCCGAAGCCATCGAGAGGCTAGCCCGATTCCACCGGAGAAGCTAAGGAGATGCCAGGCAGCGTACCTTTGTTTCTATCGAGTAACGAAAATACCGTGACTTGGGCCTCGTTGCGGTGACCGCTCGCCTAGCCCCATGTGCGTGGCCTGGCTGTTTCCGGAGCTGACCGAGAGTCATGCTAGCCATCACATTTCCACCATGTTTCCGGCGTACCGTTTCAACTAGCTTCGGATATCCTGACGAGCGCAACAGCCCCCAGCCACCAAGATTGTGTTTTGAGAATGAGGCCAAACCCACACGCATCGAGAGACGATTGAGAAGAGACTTCGGGCCTCCCCGTACTTCTGACACGCCGTGATCGGCGGTCACGGTCGTCCAGCATAAGCGGCGAACTACGGCATCCGGAGCCCTGCCGTCTGAGTAGCTATCGAGTAACGAAAACTGTCCGTTTCACGCTTCTGCTTCGTTTCCGGCGGCGCCACCTGCCTCGGAAGGCTCCAGCGACACAGCGGCTGTTCTCAACTCGTTGTGGCGGTCAGCAGCTTCTGCAGACATGATGTGCCGGGTTGCGAATGTATTGGCTGCATGTTGCGTACGTACAGTAGGGCTTAAAAACTTTCCCGTTGCGCTCAAACCGCATGGTGGTTTTGTTTCCCTTACGTTTGTCTTGGCCCCCTCGGAAAACCTGAATTAGCATGATGCGCAACCATCCTAGTGGCTGCTTTGTTGAGCATCTGGAGCGTGTCGCCTGCGGGAGAAAAAAAAAGTTATTAATTAGCACCGTCCGGCGCGACATTAGCGTTGACGGGTAGCCTGCGACTGATGACCACGTATGCAATAATGACCGGGAAACGTATCAGGAACCCAGGAAGCACTCCATTCGCTTTCAAGCACTGGATATGGTAGTTAGGTTTACATCCTCGTAGACTTTACCGTCGGGAGTCTCTCGCTTCATTGCAGCGATAGAAGCAACCTCTCACGACAAGATATACCTGTCCAGCACAGACTGCTTCTGCGTTTTAGGGGCTGACTGGGATACCCTGCTAGAGGCCAGCATTGACCGTGAGTTATAGAGGCTCGCGTGTAGTCCGTACTCGGCTGCATTTTCGCGTCTCAGATCTAGGTATGTGTAGGCGTCAGGTTTGTAGTAAATAGCCTTTTCAGAAGAGACCAGACCCATCTCCACTAGCGCCTGGAGCACGCGCAGGACATCTTGGGTATCTTGGAAGTTTTTGGTGTAGACACAGACTGCGAACTAATTAGCACGAACAGGTCTTTTCCTTTTGAGACGCTGAAATACGCACTCAGTCGTTCTTCACTCTCGTCATCCGTTGCCACCTTGCAGCTAGAGCCAAGTCGATTGTCGATGACACCTGCTACGATCTCTTTCCAGACCCGAGTAACATCCATAGGCTTAAGAAACAGCATCCACTGTAGAGGATCAGTCCTGAAAACGTGAAATCCAACTCGAAACTGATCTAAACTACCTTCCCAGAGATGACATTGGTGTCTTTTGCGAGGATAGCGATACGCTCTTGTAAAGACTTGCTCTCTTGATTGAGCTGTCTGGTCATCATTCCTTTTGGCTGTGAAGCACTTGCTTTCTGGATCTCACGGCGGTTATCTAGCGACTGCTCAAGTAGTTTCATTCCGTGAGTTGTAAAGTCGCCAACACGCGGACATGATGACTTGTCGCGAGGATTGCGATGAGGATTCTCGGCCCAGATCCAGGGACACGTGAAGACGGAAGTAGTGACTGGCGGAAGGCGTCTGACAAACTCATCTACAGACTCACCCAGCTGCCATGCATCAGGACGTCCTTGGAGTGGGTTGAACAACTCGAGCCCTGGTGACGGCTCTCGCTTGCGTTTGCCAGATATTGCGATGTCCTCCTGCCCCACGGCCTTGGGGTTGAGGCCAGACATGGTGGAAGCCTGCTCGCGTATAGTTGATGAGTTTCCTGCTTTGCTTCTATTGGATTTGGATGCATCGTCGTGATCGCTGGAAGAAGGCGGCTTCGCTATGCCAATGCCGGTAGTTTTTACGAGGAGCTGGGTTCTCGCAGCCATCATGATAACGTTGATGTCTTTGGCATGGGCTCTCCAGAATCGGCTTGCATCAATGTCTCCCACGAGTTCAGTCAGGCGCTGTTTCTCCTCATCGCTGCCTATTGATGTGTCAGTAAGCGCGGTTGCAAGATGCGCATTAGCCTTTGGTGTTCCGTGCCTACCATAGAAACTGCTGTCATCCGAGATCCATCCACTCCCGTTCACGGTATCTTCCTCCGCCATGACTGCCGTAATTGCGGTATCGATGAAAGTGCATGTCCTAGGTGCAGAGGACAGGCGGGGTGTAGATTGTTTGCTGTTGTGATGAGTGATGGTTGGCCGAATGGGGAAGTAATTGAAGAAACGCGTGCAAGGGTACCCCTGCAACCAAATCGCGTGCGCGCGTTCGCTCTACGCGTTGATTGTGACCGACGCTTCACTCCCACATGCCAAAGTGTCTATCTAGACGTGCAACGATCAATCCATGATACCCACGATGCCACACTCCGTCACACCAGAGTCTACACCTGCAGAAGAGACATCGCAGGCCGTCTCGCTCCCTGACACCACCAAGCCCGAATCAGAGACACCCGATGTCGCTATGGAAGACGCCCCAACAGCGGCCGCAGCAGAGGCGGCCAAGGTGAAGCTCGAGGAATTGTTCGACGATGCAGACTCCGACCCAGAGTTTCCCTCGAGCGTTCCAGCGCCCACATCTCAAGAGGACGCATCACAGCCCGCCCCAATGTACGCCCCCACCTGCCCACCCCCCGCTTGGTGCTCCACGACTAACACGGCACAGCAAGATTACATCTCAATCGTCATTCTCCGACCCAGATGTGATGCGGGCTTTTTACCAGCGTCTCTTTCCTTTTCGTCCGCTCTTTCAATGGCTCAACCATTCGGCGACTCCGAGCAACGACTTTGCCCATCGCGAGTTCGCTTTCACGCTGCCCAACGACGCCTACCTACGCTACCAGTCCTTTCCCTCGGCCGATCTACTGCGAAAGCAATGCATAAGCATGCTGCCCTCACGTTTCGAAATCGGCCCCATGTACAGCACCAACCCAAGAGACCGAAAGACGCTGCGAAAAGCCAGCGCTTTCCGACCGCTGATGAAGGAATTGGTCTTTGATATCGATATGACGGATTATGACGATATCAGAACGTGCTGCACAGGCGCAAACATTTGTCTCAAGTGCTGGGGGTTCATTACCATGGCCATCAAGACTATCGACGTTGCTCTGCGAGAAGACTTTGGCTTCAAACACATACTCTGGGTCTACTCTGGTCGTCGTGGTGCTCACGCCTGGGTCTGCGATAAGCGCGCACGAGAAATGGACGACCAGAAACGGCGCTCCGTAGCTAGTTACCTGGAACTCCTCAAAGGCGGCGACCAGGGCGGCAAAAAGGTCCACGCCAAGCGGCCTCTACACCCACACTTGGAGCGCAGCCTGGACATATTGAAAGAGCATTTCCAGACGTCAATTCTAGCCGAGCAAGATCCCTGGGCCAGCGACGAAAAGGCAGCCCACCTCCTCAATCTGCTCCCGGACCCCACCCTCAAAGCCGCCTTGCAGAAGAAATGGAGCTCGGCGCCCTCGCGGCCCAGCGCCTCCAAATGGTCCGACATCAACGCGCTCGCCGAATCCGGCGCTCTATCCAAGACACCCAAAGAGCTGCGAGAAGCAAAGCAAGACATCATTCTCGAATACACATACCCGCGCCTCGACGCCGAAGTATCCAAGAAACTCAACCATTTGCTCAAGAGCCCGTTTGTAGTGCACCCGGGCACAGGAAGGGTCTGCGTCCCAATCGACACACGCAAAGTCGAGGATTTTGACCCCCTAAGCGTACCCACCGTCACACAGCTGCTGCAGGAAATCGACGACTGGACGGGCGACGAGTCAGACAAGAAGATGCAGGACTGGGACAAGACGAGCCTGAAGCCGTACGTGGACTACTTTAGGCGCTTTGTCGCGGCGCTGCTGGACGACGAGAAGCCGGCTCTGAAGCGCGAGAGGGAAGAGGCTGCCGATGCAATGGAGTTTTAGCACAAAATGGTGTTGTCTTGTACACCTTTGTGGAAGATTTTTCCTTGCATACTTTTTTTGGGGGATGCATTTCATGCGCAAACCCCCCCGAATTTCAGACATCACGCCTCCTTATCACCCGCAATGCCATGCCATGTACCATTTTCCGAGCACACCGCCCCTCTTTCCTTCTATTTGCCTTACTTTACTCGTCTCCCATGCCATCGTACCCGCGCTGACACACGATGCCGTCTCGCGTACAATACGGAATCTGGATGACGGTTGGACCACGCCCACGGCCTGATCCGCGCGCAGGGTCTCGCCCCCATCGTCTGGGAGGAAATGCTGCTAAAGTGGAAACTGAATCTCGCATCTGACGTTGTGGTGCAGGCGTGGCGGAGCTCCAAATCCGTGGCGGATATTGTGGCAACGGGACATAAAGTCATCGCAGGGAACTATGACTTTTGGGTAAGTTTTTTTTTCTGCTCTTTTTCACTTCTTGATATGCATTTTATCAAGAACACTGACTATACTCTGTCAATTTCTTGTACTAACATTAACGAAATAGTACCTCTCCTGCGGCACAGGCCAATACATCAACTACGCGCCGTCCGTCAGCGCGCGCTACTGGCCTTTTACAGATTACTGTGCGCCCTTCAAGAACTGGCGTGTGATCTACTCGTACGATCCGCTAGCCGGCGTGCCCTCCGCCCAGCAGCACCTTGTCATCGGCGGCGAAGCACACATGTGGTCGCAGCAAGTCGATCCCATGAACGTGGACCAGATGGTGTGGCCGCGCGCCGCCGCCGCCGCAGAGGTGCTGTGGAGCGGCGCCAAAGACGAGCACGGTCGCAACCGTAGTTACTTTGATGCTGCGCCCCGCCTGAGCGAGATGAGGGAACGCCTGGTGGCCAGGGGCGTGCGCGAATGAAAGCCTGCATGAGGGGCGTCAGGACGGCTGAATCATTGCTTTTGACCGTCTCGTCGAGCAGATAGGCATTCACGTTTACTTCGTCGCCGCCCGTGTGGAAGTAGCTTGAAAAAGGCTGGACGCGGGGCAACACACCATTGAAGAGCGTTTGAATAAAGGTGCGGACGGCGGGCGAGTTTAGTTTCAGTGTCCCAGACGGTGGATCGTTTGCATATACCGTCCAGTCAGGCTGCATGTTGAAGGCAGCAATGAGCTCGGGGAAGCTGTATGCGATGCTGGACGTGTGTCCCGGCATATCGATTTCAGTAATCATTTCGACGCCCTGCAGCGCAGCGTAGCGCTGCAAGTGTGCAAAGTCGTCTTTTGAATACACGAGGTGCGGGCGGTAGGCCCCCCTTTCCGAGACGGACGGCAGCGAGGGGATCTCGAGAGGCCAGGCTTGCGAGTCGGTGGCGTGCAGGTGGAAGCGGTTCATTTTGGTGTAGGCACACGCGGAGATTTGGCGCTTGATGTCGCTGACGGGGTAGTAGCTGCGCGAGACGTCGAGGTTGAGGCCTCGGTGCGCGAACCTGGGGGCGTCGAAAATGGAGACGGGGGCGAGGGGCGTGTAGACATTTTGCTGGTCTGAGTGCGCGTAGAAGAGTTGGGTAAACGTGGTGAGGCTCCGTGATAGGCCTATGGAGGTGTTGGCGCTGATGGTGGCGACGCCTTGTTGGGTTACGCTGAGGCTGTACGACTCGTCGACTTCGCCTGCAAGCGGTCTTGCGATGTTTGCCGGGTCGGTGCCGAGAAGCCCTAGATTGATGCGGGAGAGATATAGCGCATCCGCAGAAACGGGAGAGGGTTCCTGCCAATCGCGAGGGCGGAATTTCCACGGGTCGAAGTTTTGGAGGAAGAGGGCTTTCCACGTTGCTCTGGTCGCGAATTCGACTATGTCATCTCCAGAGACAGTGTTACTAGTTGCATCAGCCTCCTCGCCAATTGATGAATCCGTGTAACTTGTTTGCGACTCGAGTGTCCCGTTGTCCTGTAATTGTAGGCCCTCAGTGTTAGAAATCAAGACGATGATGCTAAAGGGGAATTCACACGCATGAGTGAACCCACATGTTGTGAGCTGGCCTTGTACCGGTAGAAGGAGATGTCTTTTTTAATGAAAAGAACGCCATCTCCATGGTCATATGTCACAGGCTTCGGCCATATTGCGGTGGCCAAGGATGCAAAGAAGAATAACGTGTTTTACAAGCGAGCGCCGCGTACAAGCGAGCGCCGCACCCCACTAAACCTGCGCACCTCTATAAGCCTGTATTATTATTATTATTATTATTATTATTATTATTCTAGTTTAACGTCCTTTTTCAGCCCGAAGGGCTATATAAGACGTGTAGGGTTTTTAGGCCTACAAGTATCTAAGTAGGTTGTTTCTAGCTACGATATTTAGGAGGGGTTTTAACTAGATGAAGGTGAGGCTCGTAGCCTATTGGTTAGTAGGTA